AGCATCACGATAATTCTCCTTTGGGCCATCGTCCTCCATTCGTCTCGACCCTTCTCCTCGACCCCTGCACCCTCCTCCTTCGCCCCTTCCTGCACCCGGCCCTCCCTCCTTTCTCCGTTTCTTCTACCTTTCTTCCTCCCTCCGCCCCTCCCTCCTCCCGTCGCTGTACTCCATCGTTCGGCGCTCCCTCCTCCTTCCCTCCTTGGTCCCGTCTTTCTGCCCGATCTAGAGAATACATTTCGTGTTTCCCAATTCACGTAAACGCCACATTACGCACAAGCTTGCACGTGTGCGCGCACGTGTGTGTGTGTGTGTGTGTGTGTGTGAGAGAGAGAGAGAGAGAGAGAGAGAGAGAGAGAGAGAGAGAGAGAGAGGCAGCATGACCATTCCCCTGCCTCGGCCCATCCTCCTCCACCCGTCTTGACACTTCGCCCTGGACCGTTACTCCTTCCTCCCTCGCCCCTTCCTGCCGCCCGGCTCTTCCCCCTTCCTCCCTTTCTGCTTACTGCCTTCCTCCCTCCTTTCTCTTCCCTCCCTCCCTCCTTCCTCCGGTGGCCTCACCTTATCCCCGGTTGTCCCTCCTTCCTCCCTTGGCCCCTTCTTTCCGCCTGATCTAGATTGTGCATTCCGTTTCTCTTTTCCTTCCCAGTTTACATAAATGCCACATTTCGTTCTCGATTTAAATATATGCAAGCGTATACTTGCGCGCGCGCGCGCGAGAGAGAGAGAGAGAGAGAGAGAGGGGGGGACGGGATTGCACCATCGATATGCCCCGGTAGCACCTCTCCCGGGGCCAGGGAAAAGACTGTTAGTGTCAACAACGGCAACAGGAGCCTCCTGGAAAGATGGACGGGCCCGGTAAGGGCATACGGGAAACTTTTCTGCTATTTTTCAACGGCCAGCCGGTAGGGGCATACGGAAAATTTGGTGCCGGTACCGGTAGGGGCATATGAAACATATTTCAGGCCCAAACGACGCCAGGGGTTTTCTGGAAACATCAATCGTCGTCAGAGGGGCGCAACAAGGTAAGTCGGCCGTCAGAGGGGCACGCCGCAAATAAATGCAAACTTCGGGGGCATTTCGAAAATTTTCCCAAATTTTTTTCAAGGTGACCCAACCCACCTTAGTGTTTTTTCGAAAATTTCCTCCCACACCCAACCCGCCCGTCACCCGTAAGAAACCTTCACCCTGACCCAACCACACCCCTGAGAACAAAATTACAAGCCCGCACCCGGTACCTAATTATTTTCCACCTGCACCTGCCCATTCCCCATTGTCTCAGTCCTTTCGAACATTTGCATGCACCATAGCAACATGACATCCTTGGATGATGGCGCAAAACTTGCTTCGAATGCACTAGCGGTTAATGGAAGGCCAAAACCGCCTCTCCAGCCCCAGTAAACGGCGGCAGTAACTGAAGCATCTATGCATGTGGAAATTCAAATCGCTCCACAAGTGTGAAATTGGCTAGTGAACCTAAGGCTTGCCACTTGCTGTGGTTAGGTTCGTTCCCCGTTGTTTTTATGGGAGCGAACATCCTGTTGTTTGGGCCATGGTCCAATTGCCACCAGTAGAGCACGACACATTTTTTCAAAGGACCCCAAATTTCGAATTGCCACTGGCACGGGTCTTTTTTTTAGGACCACAACTTTCTTCCCCAAAGGCCCAAGGGTTGAGACTTTCCGTTTCCTAAGCCTCCAACCTTTGAAGTGCACAGATGGACCGCAGCTGGGAAATATATATAAGGGTGGGGTGGGGGGTGGGGGGGAGGGTTCTTATGGGTTGTCCTGGGTCTGCGAGTCGGGTGACCCAGGCCTAGCGCTCACCCACTTGTCAGCCACGCATTCGGGTGACCCTGATCTAACATTGACCCACCCGTCACCCACCCAGGCTTGCTCACCTAGACCCACCCTCATCCCACCCATGCCAGCTTATCAAGACCCACATCTAACACAATGCCTCGTGGGTTGGGTGGGTGCGGGTGGGTGTGGGTCTGGGTACCCGTTGCTCATCTCTGAAAAGCAGCTATGGGCAGCGGCATAGCTGCTTTGCGTTGCCCTTTGCACAGGAGGGCGGCAACATAGCTGCTTTGGGTTGTCCTTTGGACAGGAGGGTAGAGCCCTCAGTAGTCCGTTAGCCTCGGCTTGCATGAAGAAGGAGAGGAAGGGTGGCCATGGCTATGGCGGACCTCATGTGATGCCTGCAGTAGAAGAGGGATTCGGACCTTGATTCTGGTTCAGCCATTCAACATTATTATTGTCATTTCTTGTTTGAATAAGAGGGGAGGAGGAGGAGGAGAGTGGTTCGTGAAGAAGAAGAGCATTGTCATTGGTCTATGCTGGAGTACATCATCATCTTCTTCTTACTTTCTTCTTCTTCTTCTTCTTCTTTCCCTCTCCCCTCTCAAGTTCATTCATTTCTTTTTGTTTTTGGACGGCATTGTGCTTTCTGATGAATGTGGACTTCGAAATTGGCCAGGATCGTAACAGAATGAATAAAATGAATGGACTGTCCGAGATCGTCGGCCATCAAATGTGAGTAACCTTTGGCTGTGGTGTACCTGACAATGTGGAATTTGCTTATGCTGTGCCGGGTGCAAGTTGATGCACCATCTGATCTGTTGCACCTAAAGGTGGCGCTGAACAAATGAATGAACGAAAGAACGGAGCAAGGAGCAAACAAACAAAAGAACGAATTAAAGAATGAAGGAATGGACATTCCAACAGACAAGCAAACAAACGAACAAACCAACAGACCAACAAACCATCATACCAAGTATTACCAACAAACAAACAAACCAACAAAGTCAACAGAACGGCAGACAAAAAACACTGTTTGCAGTCCATAGCAAAGAAATGCTGACAGATGAAAACATGGGAGAACCAAGTCACCTACCACACCTTGCACGGCAGTAAAGGATCAGGTCCAAGCAAGGCACGGTGCAAAACCAAACAGAGATAGGGTACCAGTTCATTTCTTCCTGAAAGCAAAGAAAGAAAATTGAGTAAATGATTTGCATTAGGATACGAGAGGCACTTAGTATTGTGCTGCGACTTATCCGGGTGCTTTTGCTTTGACTCCTCCATCTTCACGGTAGGCCCAGTGCTTCTCTCACCGATACCATGCTCTTTCGCTCCACTGGATTCCTGAGCTGGTTCGTGGCCGATCCCACAGTGCCCTCCAGAGCCATTGCTTCTCCTCATCTCACCTCCCCGTCCACTTTCCCATCGTGATGCATTCCTCCATGGAAAATCTGAGGAATTGCAAAGCCTCGTATCATCAGGATGACTATTTTGAGAAGCAGGAGAAGGCTTCGACAAGGAGCGTATATGTATTGCCAGGGAATCAGTTTCTCTGCAACCACTTCCAGAGAGCTCTTGCTCCTTCTGCTGTTGCTGCAAAAAGGGAGAAGACAAAAAAGACCTTCTGTGAGTTGCGTGAGCTGCGGTGCCTTGTGTCTTGCAATATGATGTTGCCACCCCCAAACGGGCTATCCTCTTTCTTGCAACTGACAAGTCTGTCACTGCCTGTGATATATCATGGTGGTGAGCATTGTACTTCAGCTGCATCGGATGACTCTGTTGATGCATGCATTTGATGGGTGTTTCATTTAATGTGTGTGCAACAAACAGATTTGTACGCACATAAAAGGATGGCAGAATACCAACGGGAGTTGATTGAAGAGAGGTAGACATCTCTTCGGCAGGAGATGTCGAGGGGGATGAGGAAAGTGGAGGAATGGGTTCCTTCGGGTGGTGTTGATGGCAGTCGCAAAGTTGGTGCTGTTGCATGGACATCCATTGATGAGGACATAGTTGCTGCTCTTGCTTCAGACAATGATGCATTAACAAATGACAAGCCCCCTGATGCATGGCCTCACTTTCTACAGGATGAGACATTGGGGTGAAGCTCACCTCTGAACTGTACGAGTCCTCATCCTCGTCCTTGGGATTATCATCGTGATTGCGACAATTATGCTGCTGCTTCTTCTGCTTTTTCGAGTGCTCTCCCCCACTCCAAGCAAAGGAGTTCCTCTGGTTTGACCTTTTTGCACTCTGGCCATCCTGTTCGGACTGGCAGAGATGTCCAGGCTGGGACCCCTGATTTGAAAAGGGGTGATGGACCTGGTGTTTGCTGTGGCTCGACTCCTGCTCATCTGACATAGCAGAATCAGGTGGACTGTGGTTGGTGTTTTCTAGGGATGACTTCTGTGTTCCATGGGGGGGGATCCCTGATGATCCCATTTCAAGATCATTGTTCCCCTCCCTAGACTTCGTGTCGACTGCCCCATCCTCTCGAGAACTTGAGTGCTTCTTGTACCTGTCGTGTGGTGTCCAAGAGCCTTGCAAAATCCTGAAACAGTGGCCATCACCACCGTCATCCAATTCTTCTCCCTGGCCATCGACTTTATCAGCTCTCCTTCCCACAGCGTTATTGCCTTTGATAACATAACCAGCGGTAGGGGACAGCTGTCGATGACCCGTAGCCTCGTCATGCTGCCAACGCCATGGCTGCTGCTGCTGCTGCTTCTTCCTGGCATCATATGGCTGACAGTCACGATCACGCAGCTGCAATAAAAAGACACCAAATAGGTCGAAAGAAATTGTGAGGCTGGTTGACTTGCCAATGTTGCCACTAGACAGCTGTAGAAAGTGATCCCTGAAGGACAAGGAAATGACAAGTTTGAAACGTCGAACTGCGAAGCTGGTTGTCAAAGCAAATCAAAGATATCCAGAATTCATTCCCGACCAACTCCTCTTTTAAAATTTGGACAGGGGCGATGCTAATCTGCCATTCTCTGTATCGTTCCAATTTTAACAGATTGAAGGACAGTCATTGCCAATCGACAGAGCACATCAATAACAAATTCCCGAAATGCCCTCTCAGAGATGTTACATGCTGCGCCTGCAACAGGTTGCACGGGCCTGAAAACAAGGGCCTACAGGCCCTGTGTCGTTTCAGCCTGAAAGCCTGAAAACAAGGGCCTACAGGCCCTGTGTCGTTTCAGGCTAAATCAGGGCCTTTCCGGCCCTGAGTGTTTTCAGCCTGAAACTGAGGGCCATTTTCAGGCCCTCATCAGTTCGACCCGCCCTGGAACTCAGGCAACAAACCAGGGTTTTAGCACAGGGCATTTCGGGCCTGTTTTCAAGACAACCCCTGGTTGAGCTTCAACGCCAGGGTCTGGCACGTTTCGGCATTGGCAAAAGCAGCCTCCTGGACGGGCCAGCACTATATAGGACTGGCCCGCCCTGCAGGCCGGCAGGTAGTTCCTAGGTACTTCCCAGGCACTTCACGTGCAGTTCAGGAGGCAGGAGGTAGTCTTCAGGATTCGGCGGCAGCACGCTGGAGGAGCGCTGCAGGAGTAGTAGTAGCGCCAGCAGTAGTCTTCAGCACTGGGCACTAGTAGCGTTAGCAGTAGTCTTCAGCGCTGGGCGCTCTTAGGAGCTATAGTACTAGAGAGAGAGATTGGGCGGAGGCCAGGGATACTTACCTGCAGCGCCATAGCTCCAGCTTCGCCTTCGAGGTACCTGCAGCACAGCGCCAACTTCACAGGTTAGTACCTGGCATATGAGAGAGAGAGAGTTCTTCTTCTTCCTCTTCTCAGTCCACCATCTCCATCTCACCCTCTCGCTACCTGACTTCACTGCATCAGCAGCCTATGAGAGAGCGGGCTTGGTGACATTTGGATCCAGACTCGACATTTGGGCTTCAGACATTTTGACGAGGGATTATTTGGGACTTGCAACAAAGACTTGGTGTTGACGACATTCCCATCTCTCCCCCTCTTCTTCATCTGTTCCCCTCCTCTTTGCAAGGAAGATGAGCAATAGCGAACTTCAGCAATCAAACAGTCGTGACCTCGAACCAAGAGCAGAATTGCATCACGTGTTTCACCAAATAAGAGCACACCAAAAGCTCATAATTGACAATGCTGGAATAGTCTCATCATCATCATCAACGAAGAACCAATGTTGATATTCTATCTGGCGCTCGGCGCCCAGACTACAGATGGCAGATCCTATCTAGCCGAGACTACAATGCCGAAGATGACGACAACAGCTCTCCCAAAGTACGAGCAGATAGCGGCCAATGCCACACACTTCCAGCACCAGGTATGTCTCTCGCATTACTCACAACCTCGTTCCCCAACACACAGATGCCACATGCACCCAAGGACCACCCTGCGCCACACCCAGCTCACAGCAGCGCAGCTCGGCTATGGCTGCCTGCTGCTTCCAGCTCGCCCGTGAGCGCGTGAGCGCTAGCCAGATTCAGCGCAGCAGCGCTTGCGCAGCATGCAGCCAGCACCCGAATGTGCAATGCGGAGGCAGGCCCTTTGCTATATGGAAGTGGCCTGCCTGCGTTCTGTCCCAGGCTGCGCTGGGCCTTTCCCAAGAAGCTTCCGGTAGGCCCCGGTAGGCTGAGGCCCAGTCCAAACAACTCAGGCCCTGGGCCTGTGGTGGTTGCTTGCGCCCAACTGTCATCGGCCTGTGTTTGGCACACATCTCGTATCCAGCCCACGGCCTGCCTTTGATTCATGCAAACAGGCGACCCAGGGCCTAGGTTCTCTCAACCAACTGGCGCTGCGCAACTGCCTGAATTTCCTTAGTTGCGTGGTGGTCAAAATTCAGGGTCCTCAGGCCCTCGCCGAGCCTGCCTTCACTTAGGGCGGCCGACATGCTGCTTGGTAGGGCCTGAAAAGGGCACATCGGGGCTTTAGCCTCGCATTCCCTCCTCCATAACTTCGATAGTCCTGTGAGAAGTTCAATCTTCAATGATCTGGCGCTTTTCCTTCTGCAGAGCTTTTTCGTATTGAGCTACAACTTGAGGAGCGGTCTGCATGAGTTCCTCCCTGGTGAACCAGCGGTCCTCCTTTGGATCAATATGATGCCTGAACCGAACGCTGGTACTGCAGCTTCGGTTTCAGAGGACGTCCCCTGGCCTGTTGGTCTTGGAACTGGCAGCTCCCTGTGGTCCACGATATCATCGATATCCACTTCTCCGTCCATGGTTGGAGACAGCATTGAGCAACGAGAAGGAAACTGGTTTGTTTCCTTGAAAAGTGCAAGTTTGGAGGCGTGAAAGACAGGATAAGTGCGGAGATGACCAGGGATCCGGATTACATAAGACGGCCCATCCGGATCAGTCCCGACAATGTTTAAGACCTCCCATGGCCCGAAGTACTGAGGCATGAGCTTGCGGGAAATCCCGTGCTCCTGTCCCAGTTCTGAGGACTTACCCAAACTTTGTCCCCAACCTGAAATGTAGACAGGCGGCGATGTTTGTTATCACATTCTATCATTGCCGCCTGAGCCTTCTGCATTTGTTCCACTGCCTGCTGCATCTTCTGCTCATATCGGTATGCAAATTCTAATGTACCGGGTGCAGCAGTTGACTGATTTTCAAGTAGTAAGAAGTCTAGAGGCAGTCTAGGTTTGAAGGTCAGTTGCCGACGGTGGCATCATGACACTTACCTAAAAATAAACTACGCAAATACTCTCTATTTGGGGGACACAATCGTTTATTCACTGCCTTCTCAAGGACCAGCAGGCCGTTGACAACTCAAACTCGACAGAAGTCTTCTCATCCTTCGCCTCAAGTCTGCGTATGATCTCAGACACGAACTGGTCCTCGCGATAGGCTTTCACCAAAGAGCGAGTAACATCGTCCGTAAGATCAACTCAGTAATCAGCGCACCTGAGAAATCAAGTCTACGCGACTGCGTATCAGCAACCTTGTTGTACTCACCCTTGATGTACTGGGGCTCAAAGTCATACTGCTCTATAACTTCAATCCAACGCTTCAGAGCGTCGGAGAGCACAGGTTGGGTTCTCATCCACTTCAGGGTCTGGTGATCAGTTCTGACGTAGAAGAACCTCCCAAGGAGATAGTGCCTCCAATGGGTGAGCGCCTTGTAGATCGCATAGAGCTCATTCTCATAGGTGGACTTAGCCAACTTCTGAGAGGGCATCTTTTTGGACTGTACTCTACCGGCCTCAACTCTTTCCCCTCCTGTTGTGCAAGTACGGCGCCTATGCCATATTGGCTAGCATCCGTAGTTACTATAAATGGCTTGTCAGGATCAGGAAGTTTCAAGACCTCACGATGCGTCAACGCATGCTTCAGATGTCTGAAAGCAGCCTCACATCTGTCTGTCCACTCCCATGGGGTGTCAAGGCGAGTCAGGTCAGTCAAAGGGGCGGCAACTATGCTATAGTTCTTCACGAAATTGCGATAGTAGCCGGTCATTCCTAAGAAAGACCTCATCTCAGTCACAGACTGAGGATGCGGCCAGTCACGAATGCTGGCCACCTTCGCGTCATCGGGCTTTAATCCCTCCGCGAAAATCTCATGACCCAAGTACAAGACACAGGTGCGGCCAAACTCGCACTTCTCACCGTTGATCTTGAACTTGTGCTGTCGCAGAAGACTAAGGACTTTGTCCAAGTGCGCAACGTGCTCCTCGACAGTCTTACTAAAAATAAGTATGTCATCGAGGTACACGATGACAAACTTATCCAAGTAGTCATGAAATATCTGATTCATAGTGTGCTGAAAGGTGCCAGGAGCATTGCAAAGGCTGAAAGGCATCACCACAAATTCGTACAGACCGTACCTGGTTTGAAAAGCGGTTTTGTGTTGATCCTCGGGCCGGATTGCGATCTGATGGTACCCAGACTTCAGATCTATCTTACTGAAGTATCGACACCCTTGCACCCTATCTAGCAAGTCATCGATGCGCGGTAGGGGCTCTCTGTTCTTGACAGTGATGGCATTGAGGCCCCTATTGTCAAGGCACATCCTAAGTGTTCCTTCCTTCTTCTTGGGTACAAATAGGACTGGAGACCCATAAGGAGAAACACTTGGTCGGATCCAACCCTTTTCTACGAGTTCCTTGAGTTGCCGGCAAAGCTCATCAAGCTCGCCTGGAGACATCCGATAGATCCTTCCCTTTAGAATGCTAGAACCTGGGATAATCTTTGTCGCATGGACGACCTCCCTCTCAACAACCCCTGTCGGCTCTTCAAATAGATCACGGTATTTAGCAACTACTCCCTCTATCTCCGGCGGCATTTTCACCGGCTCGCCTGCAGCAGAGACATAAACTAGATGCATACCCTACTCCTGATTTTGCTTATAATAATTATAGAAAGAATGCGGCCGCACACATGTATCCATAGGAATCGATCAGACTACTAGCTTTGAACTTACGTAATCTGGCGGTCCCTCCACCTGGCAAAGTGTGTTTGACCACTTTTCGGTCCCAGTCAAACTGGGGCTGTGCCACAGAGAGGTAGTGCATACCTAGCAAGATATCCATGGGGAGTTCATCGCTCACTGGGAACGAGACACGATGTCTCAGTTCCCCTCCCGCGTACGGGAAACAACACTCAACATCCTGGAGGTAGTTGTTGACTACCATGCGCTGTTTGTTGGCACAGGTCGACTCCACAGATCGACTCGGGCGCTGCATTTGCCCCTGTAAGCGCAGCCTCTCAACGCACGCGCGACTAATGAAGTTCCGTGTCGAGCAAGTGTCATAATAGGCCCCGGCCTTGCGGCCGCCAATGACCACCTCGCTGACGAACATCTCACCCTTAGGGGCTTTGACCAATGTCGTCCAAGAAGCTAGCGGGTCTGATCTAGACCACTCATCCTCTGGCTCCTCTAAGGACTCGAACACATTCGTCGAGCAGAGGCTCGATGGGTCTAAACGTGTTTGCGGGACAATGATGGAGTCAGTAGCCTAGGCCATCTCTTGAGATGGTGAGGGTGTATCCACCACCTCGACCCTAGCAGGAACAACTACTATTCCTACCGGCCCGACGTGTTTCCCGGAGTGGTGCCAGAACTGCTAGCCACATCGCTGCCAACGAGGGCGGAGGATCCCAACGCCTGCCCCATCGTAGGCGGGAGCTTTTCGGTCAGCTTCTTATTTCGGCACTTGAATTGGTTATGGCCATATTGGCCACAACGGATACAAACCTTCCTTGTGTACCGATCTCTCCACATGTCCTCAGTGAGACCCGCTTTCTCCCATGGAGGAGCATTGGGGTCAACTTGACTCCTTGACCGGGAACCTCCACGGGGTCTACCGGTCGGTCGCCTTACCTTTCTGTGCTACGGCAGCGACTACTCCACCCCCTGAAGCCTCTACGCTGCCAGCCTCTGAACCTACTCCCGCCTGGTAGAACCATTGTTGTCGACGAACATAATGCGGCCCTTCGCCATCCAATCGGGAGGCAGTGACTTCTTCCTACCATCCATCGTGGGATTATGTCCATGCCCTATCTTTGCCTCAAGGTCTAGGGCCTTCTTGCTGAACGAGGGAAAGTTGTGCATATTGATGTTGGCCTCGCTTGCCAACTGATTCCTGAGAGGCATGGGAAAGCATCTCAGGTAGGAGGTGAGTAAGACCTGGGGGTCATAGCGCACCCAGGGACACAAATCAGATGCTCTACAGCGTCAGTGGCCTCTCTTAAACTGCCTCGTGTGCAGTGTCAGGATCGAGTCAGTGGTCTTTTGGGGAACCCGAGGATCGTGCCACCTATCGTCCACCATCTTCAGAAAGTCCTCCATTTTCTGGTGGGCTGCCCAAATGACTGTATCCTTGCAACTGCACTAAACCACTCAACCATCTTGCTGCACTACCCTCTAGGTAGGATACAGCCACAAGCACTTCCTCGTGCGGCAAGGTAAGTTTGCACTCGACATAGACCGGCACTACCCTCAACCAAGTGTCGAGGTCTTTGCCCCTCTTATCCCCTGTAAAGGGTTTCGCAGCGGCGATGGTCGTCTTCTGTACCCACAGACTTTGTCCCGGGCCTTGCATCACACGGGTTGTGGACCCTGTGATACAGGCTGCTGTACTGATTGCTAGGGCTGTGTACCCTGCAGCCGTACAGGCTGCGAGACAGCAGGCTGCACGCTTACTGCAACCTGCGACGGAGGTTGGGTAAACACCATGGTAACCGTCCGGACGTCCGGACCGGGTTCCAGACAGTCCGGTGTCCGGTGTCCGGTTCTGATATCCGAATGGAGGCCCCTGGGGCAAAAATCAAAAAAAAAAAGGGGGCGGCTCAGGACACTTATCGGGTCCTGGGCGCCCCTTGAAAAATAATGGGGTGATTTTTCAGTGTCATTTCACCCCATCGGACAGGGCCTAGAGGTCTGGCCACAAGACACTGCAGGTTTTGGGGGTGGCGGGTTTCACACAGACCCGAGCAATTTCAAGGCGCCGGCTGCTGCTGCCCGCCACTGCTGCTCGTTGGGGAGAGAGAGAGAGAGAGAGAGATTGCACTGACAGTGCTGCCAGTCTGAAGACTCTGACGTTCTGAATTAAACTGCAAAGTTTGAACTTTTAAGTTGTGTATGAAGTTATGAACTTAAATTACTAAATCCGAAGTTCAAAGTTCAAAGTTAATCATACTTTTTTCAAAAAAAAAATTATCTGTATCTTTAGTCTTGTGCCTGCTTTGCACTGTTTGCAACTCTGCATGTCTGCTAGTTAAATGTGCTTGTTGATTTGCTGCAAGACACGTGCTCTGCTGCCTGAACTACAAAGTGCAGAGCAAGTAATGTCCGGATCACCAGACAGTCCAAACCGGTCCAGACACTGGTCCGGAAGACAGTCCGAAAGATAGCCCGGAAAACAGTCCGGAAGTGTCCGGTGTCCGGGTCCGGGGTTACCATGGTAAACACTGTCTGTACAGGAACCTGTAAACTATTACCTGTTGAGAACCCGCCTATTAAAGGCATACCCAGGGAGACAGGCTGAACCGATGCTGGAGCCATATATGGGGATACCCCAGTCACCGGTGGAACAAAAGGAGGAGGACGTACAACGGGCCAGACACCAGGCCCGGACAATGATGGTACCGCATGCGCTCATTCGACCAAGATGGCCAGACTCTGCTGGATATCCTGTAAGATTGTCGTCTGCTGGTCTTGCATCTCTACTACACCTAACAAGACCGACTTCAGGGTCCTCACCTGATCATCCAACTCTGTCGGGTCCATCTCCTGTAACTCACTAATGTCCGCTTGTCGCCGCTGCAACCCGACTCTTCTTCTAAGCATTCTTTCTTTTCCTGCCTTAATCTCTCTTAAATCCTTCTGTAGCTGTGTCTCGCGATCAACCACTCGATGTATGGCGATCTCCTCGGGAGTCATCATTAACGGCTGGCTTGCATAACGCCAGTGGACCAACTCTGGGTTTGTGCAACCGTTGACCCTACAGACCGTAAACTGCTGGTCTGGGAACTCTGCTGCACAACAGTTGCCATGGTCGCTGAAACAGCGGCTTCGCTTGTGAATGCTCTGCTGGTCTCTGCTACCCTAGCCCTCCGATGCTGTTGCTGCCTCTCCCTAAGCTGGCGGAACAGATATCTATCGCCCTCTGGTCCTAAGGCCAATTGAGCTATCGGGCGTCTAGCCGATCGCAAGATCTGGTCGTCCTCACTAGTGGTGTCCCTATCGCTCATATGCAACAGCACTGCACAGCGTCTGCACTAGGACACACAATGGATGCCTACCGCAGCGACATGTACAGACCGATATAAATAATCGGCGGCTATATCAGAGACTATACATTCGGGTCTAACAGGTAAGTTCAGATTCCTACAAATAATACTATTCTACTTTGACTAGCTCGCAAACAGAAAGCACAATGAACGGAATCAGTTGTAAACTATGTTGTCTGTTAGATGTCAATGGCAGTACATCTAACTAATCAAAATAAAAATAACATCATTTGTTGGGTTTGTTTGCAGCATGGGGTCTTACTCAAACTTATCACCTGGAACCTACCCCTTCCCCAATTCCCCTTGATTGTCACTTGACTTCAGCGTCCCTGAGCAATCCGGTTTGGCGTGCGTGACTAAAGGTGTGCACACGGCCCACCCCTATGCCCCGAGTAGCTGCTGAGCTGGCCAGCCCTGCACTGTGTTTATCCTCGCGTGTCGCGAGCCTTACACCGATTGGCTGATCAAGAGGAAATTTAACGACCGCCCCCAAGTGTCATCAGGAATTATTTTACGTCGCAGCAGAATGACGATCACAGCCAATGGTTTCCCAAGTCGGTGTCTATTTATAGACGCCCGATGCTTGTCTCTCCCATAGGGTTGGCCTGCCCTTCAGTACCCCTCTATGAGTGCAGCAAGCAGACAAGGACAAAACAGCAAGGCATGCGTGCTCTACTCCCGGTGGGTTGGCATGGTGACCGTGACCCAGTGCTCCATCCAGGGCCCTTCAGGAAGCACCGCCCTCTCCTTCCAGATGCTCCACGTGAACAATGCCGACTCTCAAGGTTGAGCGCACACGACACCTCACATGAGAGGACTCTCAAGAAGGAACTCACAACCTCACAATAATAAGTGATGAAGAGGGTAGATAAGGTTAAGAGCAACATACCTCATTATAGCTGCCCCCAACCACAAATATTTCACCAGATGACCTGATGGCGATTGCGATGACCAGTCACTGCATCAGCACAACCAGCATTATCTCGCCATTCCACCTCAACATCAATCAACCACCAGATAGTTCTCATCACACTGCGAACACCCAATATACACACGGTAGCCTTCCTGGCGATCCCCTCACCTCCTGGGTCGCCACCCCTTGTCTCCGCCCTCCTCACTGCACACCACCTACGGCCTCACTCACCAAGCAGACCGCATGTATGTACCGCATAGGCAGAAGACAAGCGCCAGATGAGCGCAACGTACCACAGCTCCGATACCAAATTGCAAGGAAGATGAGCAATAGCGAACTTCAGCAATCAAACAGCATCATACACATAAGACCAGATAGTCGTGACCTCGAACCAAAAGCAGAATTGCATCACGAGTTTCACCAAATAAGAGCACACCAAAAGCTCATAATTGACAATGCTGGAATAGTCTCATCATCATCATCAACGAAGAACCAATGTTGATATTCTATCTAACGCTCGGCGCCCAGACTACAGATGGCAGATCCTATCTAGCCTAGACCACAATGCCGAAGATGACGACAACAACTCTTCCGAAATACGAGCAGATAGCGGTCGATGCCGCACACTTCCAGCACCAGGTATGTCTATCGCATCTTCGTTTGTGCATGATCTGGACCTAGCGCCTTCTTCTTGTGTATAGCGCCAGACCCCTTCACATTTGTGATGAGAATGATGTA